ACTACCCACAGCTCACAAAGACCCTGTCTTTTTCTTCTGCAAATCACCACTAAATATTGGTGAAAGAGTAAATCCCTAAAATACCCATCCTGATACAGAGTCACAATTTTCCGGGGTCTTTATCAACGTATGTCAACGACATTGAGAAGCCTAGCCAAGGAGAACATAAAAATAAAAAATCTAATCTTGAAAAAGATAGTTACTTCAGTGATCAAGAAATTGACGGGTGCTTTTTTATCCTCAATGTATAAAAAGAGTGATAAAAATGGGTCTTTTTCTTTCAGCAGTAGGCTATCTGGAAAGAGTACCTCTACCGCTTCGGAGCTGACCTACGAACTGCCATTTCTTATCCCCTTTGAGCTTCTCATCTTCATGTTTTGCAGTTTGCACCACAGCACCAGTCCAAGATTTTCCCGCTTCGGAGAAGAAGAAGAAGAACAAAGTACGTAAGTGGAACGCAGAAAAGGTCAGAAGGTGAACAAGGAGCCTGGAGAAGCTTTTCTGGTAATCGTTGCTTTATGCTCCGTGTAATAATAAGAACACGATTTTTATTTTGCCAACGTGTTGTATTTCTAATTTCTATTCCGCGCGCTGAGCGCACTTACTTTGGATTTATTTACAGGTCTGTTGTATTGGACTTATACTTACAGGTGTGTTATCACAGTATTGCCCCTCTTTCCTTTTAGAATTACCCAATCGCCAGAACAGCTATGGTGTTTCGTTTGGTTATAAATTTACAAGTTACAACAGTGCTTACTTTTGAAACTCGGTTACTGATCCTATCATTGCAATGAGTGAGATCGTTGAATTTGTTGATACTTCATTCCACCACATGAAATTAGACTTTCATAATATTTTTTTATCGTTACTTTCATAAATTAAAACTCTACTTTAAGGGAAAAAGGGCCAAATTATACTAATTTAACCATGGTTTCAGGTTACAATCAATCAATAATTCAAAAGCCAACTATTGTTTAATATTCCATTTAGATTCAAGAAAAGTCATACGATCAGATTTTGAGATAACTACCTTTAAAGAAGCAACATTAATTGTTGATCACCAAATGAGCATCAGAGAGTTCATCATAACATTTAAGGTCATCGTACTCTTTATCACATTATCAAATTCAAAATAGCTGAAAAGTCTCTGCAATCTCTGTTCATACAATATAAAGTAATTCACCCAAAATAAAGTGAAACTTTTTACCAACATACTTGAGTTTTGAGGTATATAACGACTATAAGCACCTCAAAAAAGTAACTAACACCAACAAGTCAAAAACAAAGTAACAAGTCTAGAGAAACATTAATACAGCTTGAAACAAATATAGAGCAATAAACCGCGTGTAGCCAAAGCTGCGTCTTCCAAATGCTAACCACACAATCCCTCCATGACAATGGTTCGGGAGGGGATGGACCGACAATACTGCATCTTCTTCCTCACCATGCTCCTTGTTCATTGTATTCTCTGTCATACATCGAAACAGCCCTATCTGTTTGAGAATTTAAACCGACTATTGCATAGCCCTATCTGTGAGAACATCTAAGCGACACCAACACTGAAATCCTCATGACCTCAAAAAGGAAAAAATGGAAGCAAAAAAAACTGATCGAGCTTCGCACTAATTGAATCGGCGGAGGAAAAAAATCAATCGAAACTCAACACAAAAAGGAACAAAACAATGTAGCTAGCGCGGTACTAACTAATTGGCGGACGAAGAACACAAACAATACCATACGAGGGTACCATGGTTGCTTTTTGGAAGAGAGGGTGTTTGTATAGAGTATAGAATAGTGCAGTTCATTTATTAGTGTATTAAAGTAAAATTTAACTTATAGAAATTATGATAAAATTATTAGTAAAAACTAATTTTACTAATAGTCAAATTATATATCAAACTCGTGTTATAGTAAATGTGAAAATCAAATTGGTACAATTAAATAAGAGAGGAGAGACTTGTATGTGTTTATGTTTTTGAGACACCACGTATGGTTTGAGTTTATTTGGTCTTGGTATATATGCTTTGATCCGAGTAATATTTTATCTTTTTTGATAGATAAAATATACTCCGTGATATGCAAAAATGGCAAAACCTTTAAAGTTTAAAATTACGAATAAAAAATTGAGACACACAAATTTGATATCAAATAGTTCTCAGAAAGTCGATCCAAATTTGAACCTATGAGCTAGAAATCATCACACTGGCTTAAATTCTCACATTATCGTTGTGAGGGCTCTTGTCTAGACCGCTGTTTGGAATATCAATAGTTAACAACTTAATTAAATTGTATAGATGCGGTTGTTAATAAACATTTAACCAAGGGAAAATGGAAACTATTAATCCAACATTTTAGTATTCTTCTTACAATAGTCTTATAGTCCCACATTTTCGTTATACAAGAATAATCCAACCTTTAATTTGCACCACATCTTCTTTCGTAGGTCCTTGACCGGTTAATGATCTGCTATTCCAAGTTATTTTCTTATCTTTGCAAAATGTTGTCTTTGTGAAAGGTGAGATTTATGGTATAATTAAGGCCGGTCCTAGGGGGAGGGCAGCAGGGGTGACCGCCCTAGGCCCGAAAAAAAGTAGAAAGAAAATTAGGCCCAATTTTTTTTTCTTTATATCGAACCTGAGTAGGCTTCTTTTTTTATTTATAATTTCAATTAATTAATTAGGCCTAATGTGTAATTTTTGTTGACAATTTGAGAATCTTAAAATATAAGTAAAAAGTCTTTAACGGAGCTAGACAAGTTTTTAAAAAGAATATAAATTTAATTTTGATTTTTAAATAGACTTGGTTGTAAGTCAACACATTTGTTGTTGAATCAATAAAAGCATGTCTCTTCACATCTTTTTAGCTTTTAAGATTTTTTATTCTTTTAATTACAAAATTATCAATTTATATTATTGTCTTTGGGCTGCCAATGCCCCCCAATACTCAAACATCATCCTGATTATCTATTATGCCTCTAAAAACTTAACGGATTAGCAATTTTAAACATTGCACATGTGATCTTGGAAAAGATTGATTATAAAACAATTGTTGAGATTTTACTTCACAATGTTCTTTTGTAATACTTGTATTGTTACTTTTGTCCAAAATATGCAATTCAAATAATATGAAGGTGAATTTCATTAACCTTTATTAGATAGTTGTAGGGAGAATTTCTGGAATAGGAGTAAATTTTTCTGAGAATTCCAAAATAGGACTGTCATGTGTTCATTTTCTGAATAAGAATAATTGCTGTCATGTTCGGAAAATACTATCACGTGTAAAATATGACACTGTATGACAGTAATTACTTCTATTTAGATAATAAAAATATGATAATCTTAGTTTGGAATATACAAAAGTTTTTAGTCGTATTTAGAGTAATGTCTCCTAATTTTATTATACACCATTATTTTACTTTAAGTAAGTATAATTTACTTTTTGTCTTGGAAATAAGGCCAGAATAGTATATCGCCCATAGGCCCAAAACTGAACAGGACCGGCCCTGGGTATAATGGTTTGCAAAGATAAGAAAATAACTTGAAATAGCAGGTCATAACTGGTCAGGGATCAGTGAATGAAGATGAGGTGCAAAGGTTGGATTATTCATGAATAACGAAAAGGTGGGACTATTGTAAGGAGACCGCTAAAAGGTTTGAATTATTAGTTTCCATTTTCCCTAATAACCTTTAACCAATGCTAATAACAAAATGTTATCATTATTAATTATTAATTGTTAATTGTGGAACAAAGACCAGACACCAGAGTACGTCGTAAGTAAAGGTCTGCTCTTTGATATAGTCTACTCGTATGGCAAACATTATGATTTCAACTCCAATATAAAATGGTTCTCACCTTCCCTCCATTCCATCTATCGACCAATCCTTTTTTTCCTTCATTTTTTCTTTCCTGTTTTTTTTCCTTCTTCCAGTCCCTTTCAATAGTTAACAATGATTGGTCTATCTGACTAACTAAGGCACCGTTTGGCATGGTTAGCCTTTTTTTTACTTACTAGTGTTATCAACGAGATTTGTTACCAAAAACTAATGTACGTATTAAAAAATGTGTTAAAATTGCATCAAATAGTCAATTTCGGATAGAATCTTCAGTGGGTCCCACTTTTGTTTTGTATCAAGTCAAAGTGGTTTCGGATTTCCCTTGTTAAGATATATGGTACACTCAAAACGGATAACAGGTGAATAAGAAACTACTTTTCAAAGGTCACTCGTTGAAATGGAGAAGAAAACTATGAAAAAAATAAGTTTCTAGTGTGACTTATCTCATACCAGAAAAACCAAGGGATTTTCACCCTGATCTTCACACGCAGGCGGTGCCGATCAAATCCCGAAAATGGAGAAGCAAAACCGCGACTTGCGTGCGCGAGCGACATGCGAACACTTCACAACCTACATGTTGTTCTTGCTTTGGCTTTCTTTCTCATCTTATTTTTGTTTTCTTGGCTATTCTTTATTTAATTGTTTATTTTCAGATCAAACAAACCAATTTACCCATCTCGCACATGTGATTTAACTGGTTCAGTTTATAACCAGAAATCGGCACCCCTACATGGGCGGGTTTACAACTCTTTATACCATTAGTCGTTATATCATGTTATTTGAGTCTTAACATTGATTATCATGTTAACCTAAGAAGGTACTAAAATCAGATACCAAACATTGCATTCAAATCAACATGTAATGTTCATTACATTACTATATACATTGGTGATTACGTCATACCAAACATGGTCGTAGTGTCATTTTCTATAGTAATCACTTGAGATAACAAGTTATCTTCCGGGAAACAACATAATGACTCAACAATTAAGAGCTAGAGAAAAACTTTGCCTCTTACAAAATATTTTTCCATGAAAAGAGGAGCAATGAGCTTGATTATATTGAGGGCAATGACGTGATACAGAACAAGTCGTTATTCATGACAAGTGTACACTGAGATGGGACCCACCCACCCAGATTACATGCTAGTGAAAAGCAAGCTTCCAATGTTGCTATGTCTATGTATTATTGTCACATTTATTTTTATGTTACATTTTTTTTCCTAGTACGACTTGATTAGGAGGTTGGTTTCGATTAGGATGATTGTACATATCAGTAGCCATATTTTTTTCCTATTCTTTAGCGCACTAGTAGCTGGCAGATGAGAAATTCGAGCTGCGTCAATTGTATATAGACCGTAGGCCTCATCTGTGAGATAACAACAATCAATACAAAAATATTATATTCTTCTGCTTGTTTTTCTATATGGTATCAGAGCAGTTACGAACTGGGCTGCTCTATCACGAAACAAAATAGCATCATCATGGCCGAAAACTTTGAGGAAGATGCTATTGTACGTAGAGTGCAAAATACTCCCATGCACAAGCCCAACCTCACGGACGAACAGTGGCGAAATTTCCTAAGGATGCTGGACGAGAGTACACAATCTAATACTCAATGGCTCCTGGACTCCGGGGCATCATACCACATGACCGGAGATGATACGGTTTTGACGAAGACATGCAAGATGAATCCTATTTCGGTCCAATTACCTAATGGTGAAGTAACCCGAGCGACACATGTTGGTGACGTGCAGATCAGTTCACGATTAAAATTGGAGAAAGTGTTGCTAGTACCTGGATTGCAATGCAATCTTATTTCGTTAGCACAATTAATTGATCAACGAAAATGTGATATATTTTTTACTAATGATATATGTGTGATACAGGACCTACTTACGAGCATACCGATTGGAGTGGGTGATCGACGAGGGGGAGTTTATTTTTTTTCGGAGTCTTGATCAACCTCAAGCACATGCGGTGGTGGTGCCAGACTCAGGTGAACTGTGGCATTCTCGATTGGGACATCCATCAGTGAAGGTTTTGCGTTTGGTTAATATTTTGAATAAGGCATCGTTGAAATCCGTTCAGAATGATACTTGTGATGCTTGTTTACGTGGAAAACAAACCCGTGATGTTTTTAATATTAGTCTTGCACGTGCTGTTGAACCTTTTGAATTGATACATTGTGATGTTTGGGGTCCATATAGAACGCCGGCCACAGGCGGTTCACGTTATTTCTTGACTATAGTTGATGATTATTCCCGAGCAGTGTGGGTACATCTGATGAGGGAGAAAAGTGAGGTCAAAAATATTCTTAAGCAATTTTTTGCTATGACGTCTAGACAATTTAATAAACCCGTGAAAGTTTTCAGAAGTGACAACGGCAAAGAGTTCATTGGTTTGCAAGAATATTTTTTGACTCATGGAATAATTTTTCAAACGTCGTGTGTTTATACTCCACAACAAAATGGTAGGGCTGAGCGGAAGCATATATAGGCATATACTTGAGGTAGCACGAACTCTCAGATTTCATGCAAATTTGCCTATTGAATTTTGGGGTGAATGTGTGTTAGCGGCTGGATATTTGATTAATAGATTGCCGTCTCCTGTGATAGAAAATAAGAGTCCGTACGAAATGTTGTATAAAAAACCTCCTTTATATACTCATCTTAGGGTATTTGGGTGTTTATGTTATGCACATTCTAAGGAGACAACAGGTGACAAATTTGCACAACGTGGAATAAAGTGTGTATTTTTGGGATATGCTTACACACAAAAGGGTTGGAAAGTATATGACTTAGAAAAACAACGACATTTTATTTCTCGTGATGTGAAATTTATTGAAACCATTTTTCCGTTCAAAATGGTGGAAAATAATACTGGCAGCACGATTAATTACGACCGAGAAGCTAAGTCTGGAGAAAAGGTACAGGAGTTGGACCATTATGTGCACACTTTGGATGATCCACCTTCCTATCCAGCCACGTGTGAGGACATTATCCTCACACCATCTCAAGCATCTGGAGACACGTTACACATGCATACGGATAATCATGCATCACCATCATCCCAGTTGGATACGCATGACACGGGACCAATTGACAGCATCTCAACCCCTTCACCTGGAGACAACCCCAGTCGACGCGGGACACGGCAACGGAAACCACCAACCTGGCATCGAGACTATGACGTGCAGTTGAACACTGTGAAAATAAACTCCTCTCCTGTCGTTAACTCACACCCGTCGGTTGAATCAGGTACTCCTTATTCCATATCTCATTATGTAAATTATAAACATTTTTCGGTTGGGCATCGTGCTTTTCTTGCAGCTATATCAGCAGCCAAAGAACCGTCCACTTTTAGTGAAGCTTCCCGAGATCCACAGTGGAGAGAAGCTATGAGCCGTGAAATTGCAGCTCTCGAACGATCAGGTACCTGGCGCATTCAAGACCTGCCGAGTGGGAAGAAGGCCATTTTTTGCAAATGGGTGTACAAAATTAAATACAAAAGTGATGGCTCAGTGGAACGCTACAAAGCACGGTTGGTCGTTTGTGGTAATAGACAAGTGCAAGGCATTGATTATAGTGAGACATTTGCTCCAGTTGCTAAAATGGTAACTGTTCGTACCATTTTAGCGGTAGCCGCTTCTCGTCACTGGGAGCTTCATCAAATGGACGTGGATAATGCATTTCTTCATGGGGATTTGCATGAGGAAGTATACATGCACTTGCCTCCCGGATACTCCGCCTCCTCCCCCGGCAAGGTATGTAGATTGCTTAGATCACTATATGGCCTACGGCAGGCTCCCCGTTGTTGGTTTTCTAAGCTCACTGGTTCTTTGCGTGCTTATGGTTTTTGTCAGTCACACGCCGATTATTCTTTATTTACCCTACGACGAGATGATCGGATTCTGTGTGTTTTAATTTATGTTGATGATCTACTTATCACCGGCAATGATCATGATATGATTGTCGCATTTAAGAGCTTCTTAGCTGCTTCTTTTCCAGTCAAAGATTTGGGCAGAATGAAGTATTTTTTGGGAATTGAAGTAGCGCGCAATTCTACTGGGATATTCTTGTGTCAACGCAAATATGTGTTGGATATTTTGGCCGAAACAGGTTTGACCGGGGCTCGGCCTGTCTCCTTTCCTATGGTGCAGAACCATAAATTACAATCAGATACTGGGCCTAATTTTTCTGATCCAGACCGCTATAGGCGGTTAGTTGGGAAGTTGATTTATCTTACCTTGACTAGGCCAGACATTTGTTATTCCGTTCATATTCTATCTCAGTTTATGCAATGTCCAAAAGTGGCACATTGGGAGGCTGTTTTACGTGTTCTCCGCTATCTAAAAAGCCACCCTGGTCAGGGCATCTTATTACGGTCCGATTCACCCCTCACTCTAACCGGTTTTTGTGATGCTGATTGGGCTAGTTGTCCCGTCACACGTCGTTCTGTGACTGGCTATTTTGTTTCTCTTGGACAGTCGCCTATATCCTGGCGAACCAAGAAACAAGCCACCATTTCTCGTTCTTCAGCAGAGGCTGAGTATCGTTCCATGGCTGCCTTAACTTGCGAACTCATCTGGCTACGCAACTTGCTTCGGTGTTTGGGGGTAGTGCATCCTTCACCAGTACAACTTTATTGTGATAATCAAGCCGCTTTGCATATTGCTTCCAATCCGGTGTATCACGAGCGGACCAAGCACATAGAACTCGATTGTCACTTCATTCGGGACCATATACAGGCCGGAACTATCTCTCCATCCTATACATCCACTTCTGAACAACCTGCGGATATGCTCACTAAAGCTCTTGGTGCATCTCAATTTTCTTATTTGCTTGCCAAGATGGACATTTGTGATCCCCATGCTCCATCTTGAGGGGGGTGTTGCTATGTCTATGTATTATTGTCACATTTATTTTTATGTTACATTTTTTTTCCTAGTACGACTTGATTAGGAGGTTGGTTTCGATTAGGATGATTGTACATATCAGTAGCCATATTTTTTTCCTATTCTTTAGCGCACTAGTAGCTGGCAGATGAGAAATTCGAGCTGCGTCAATTGTATATAGACCGTAGGCCTCATCTGTGAGATAACAACAATCAATACAAAAATATTATATTCTTCTGCTTGTTTTTCTATATCCAAATCTATCTTGGAGATTATGGTCGTTGCAACTCGAGTACTACCATATTCAAAGAAAAAGCAAACTCATTTAGTAAGAGTAAATAGAGGGCCATATCGGACAGAAATGATGGAAGTGATGATCAGGCCTTATGATCCGATCCAGGCGCAATTGTAAAAGAATTTCTCACCCCACATGAATTTTTTTAAGCATAAATGCAATGTTTTTTAAGAAATAAGGAAAATTATCATTTACCGCCCTTGAGGTTTCACGTATTATCACCTAGACCCCTGCACTATTAAAAATATACACTTACCCCTCTCCCTATCCTTTAATGAAAGTTTAATAACTCTTAATTACGTTTAGAAATAGTATAAATTCAGTTTTATAAAATTACTCACTTGCATATTTAACCTGATAATTAATAAATTTACTTGTATTCAAAATCTTTCCACCAGAAAGTACTTTTTTTGCAAGAACGTGTACTTTCCAATGAAATAGCCCTTATTATTGACAAGGTACATAACTACATCTACATGTGAGTAAAATTATACACTTAGCAGACACAATCGAAAAGTACAAGCGTAAAACCATAAATCTCTGTTACTTTTAAAAGTTCAAAAATATATTTGAGGTTGTAGAAATCTTGGTGAAACTTTTCTGACGAGAGAAAGATGTCTAATAACGAGGAATGTTATTTTATACGTAAAACAGATGTTGTTGAAGGACTTTTAGGAGACTATTGTTACCTATTGTAAATTTGTATGAGAAGTACTTACTTTTGTGGTTCATATTAGGGGAGGACAAGGCCTGGTCTCGAGAATGACAGATTTTCTAATTAAGATTTTAGGTTGGGATTGAGACCAGACCGGTGAACAAGAGGCCTCAGGCCTCACTTTTTTGACCAGGATTGGAGCCCATGTTTTGACCTCGTTCATTTTTTCATTAAAACCATTGAAAACATTTTAGAATTGGTACGTTATAGTCCGTTTAAAAGTTAAAAAAATAGGTAGTTAAATATTTAAATTATCGGGAGCGAACCTAGACAAATTAGGAGATTAGAACCGAAGATAAGGTCATGGGCCACACTAAATATTTAGCACTAACCAGTTTGGGTGTGAAACTCATGATAAATTATAATGTCTTTACCAATATTTTACATGTAAGCATGTTCATATTTTGTCAAATGTTAAATTACAAGTTATATTATACCTATAATGATCTCATTTTCAGTGATAAAAAAGTTTCTAGAGTGCAAAATGGGAATTTTCTTGCATTCAAGCTTTAATGGTAAAACCGAGTAGTCAACATCACTTTTGAGTCGGTTTGGTTCAATTAAGTTGATTTGTTTCAGTTCTTGACAAATTTAGCTTATTTTGATCATTTCCATGTCAGTTGAGTATATTTAGTCACTTTACAAATTGAAAGGTATAAAACGAACTACCTAGAGTGGGGTCAGTTTTGTTCGACTTCCGATAAAAATATCATTAATATGGACAAATTTATTAATTACCGGATCAAATTTGTGATTGAATAAAATTATAGTATTAAAAGCGGACCTAACAAAAAATAATGAAATTATATCTATAGTTTTCTCTACATATAGATTAGAAGTTATTTAATCATCATTAAAGGATAGGGAGGGGGGTAAAAGTATATTTTTAATAGTATAGGGGTGTGATTGATAATGCATCAAACCTCAAGGGAGGTCAATGATAATTTCCCAAGAAATAATTGCAAATTTATGGCTATTACGGAGTATTAATTAAGGGTACGTGTTTACAAATATGTGTCACAGTGACATCTTAAGTTTAGCTATAAGGAATGAACTAGTTATTCATAATATAAAAGGCATACTAATATTGTACTTCACTTTTCATTGTATCTTGACACTAGTTTTTAACACGCGCGTTGCGCGATTGAATAAAATGCCCAATGTGTTTATATTGAGAAATCTGTATATTGTATGTTAATTTGATATTTTTTTTTTATATTTGACATGTTAACATTTGTATCAACTTAAAATTAGAGTATTTAATGTTCCTTCATACGAAAGATGACCCAAAAATAAAATATAATAAATGCAAATCCTCATATGAGCTAGACCCTATTTTCCTAGTTTCATAATAAAAAGTATCATTAGCATAGTGAGAAATATCTGATACATATCTAATTATTGATGGTTCTTAATATACGATCTAATATGAGGTATTCACGTGATATACACTAGATATGAAATGAAAGGTATAGTAAACAAAGATCAACATAAACATATATAAAAGTCACTAATATGCAAGATAACTTCTATTTCTATAATATTCGTCGGTAAATAGTACTATCTTTATTCCATTTTATGATTCTTGTTTTGATCTGAGACAATTATTAATAAAGTAGTTGATAAATATGAATGACAAAAGTTTGGAATAGTAAATTAAAACAATCATGTCATTTACATTAGTGGAAGTATAAATAATTAGGCTAAAAATTGAGTGGGAAAAATGCCAATTATCATTATGTATTATTATTCGAGATATTGAGTATGATGAGAGAATGCAAATACGTAATATAAAAAATCGCACATACTATTCATAAAAAATCCAAGTAGTAGTATACTCCTTCCGTCCCCTTTTAAATGTCCCGTTTTACCATATTGAGATATCCCTATTTAATTGCCCCATACCTTATTTGGTAAACTTTGTGTGGCTCAAAATCATTCTTACTTTATTCTTACTTTATCAATTAATATCAATCACACAAACTCACTTTTCTTAAAACCTGTGCCACCATCTCCCGTCCCATTTAAAAGGGGTCGGAGGGAGTATGTAGTAGTAGTAATAATAATAACAATAACAACAACAACAACAATAATAATAATAATAAAAGAAAGTGAGTGAGAAAATTGGTCTTCAATAACATTCCTCCAACTCGTATCTAGGCTAAACCATTTGTCCGTTCAATTTAGAGAGTATGGGTACCACAAAAAGTGAATTTAATATTCAAAATTAAATGAAAAAATTAAATGAGAAAGATAAAGTAAATACGTAAGGAACAACATGAAGACTAAAGGCAGAGACGGCTAAGGCATGGATTTAACGGAAGTAACGGAAGAAAACATGAGTAAAAATATGTGGTATAATGATGGGAGCATAATGTACAAGAGCATATTGCTTTGTATTACACCAACACATTTATTATACCTAAAATATCCTAACTTTCATTGGTGTTTATAATATTTTAGAAATTATCTTCATGTCTTTTTAAATGAAGATGATGCCAGCCTAATAACATTACTCCCAAATGCATTCTTCATACATAATTTGACCTTTAATTATCTCTCATTAGGGTTGCGTTAGTGGTTTATCAGCATGCTATCATATCGTATCTAAACCTTTCCCTTTCAGTGTCTACTTGTTTTTGTCCTTTCATGTTGAGTGATTGGTAAATTCGTTGTACATTGGTTAAAACTAAAATGCTGAATTTAGATTGAAAATACAATGATTAGAAAGGGAGGACTATAATGGGGATGATAATGCTGTCACTAATGATAAATGGAATCCCATGTTGCTGTGGCACAACATGCATGGATCACATAGACTCCATGTGTACTGAATTAACTACTAGTATATGTTTTAATACGGAGTATATGTTTTCAAGTGAACAACAATTTTACTATAACTTCATTTTAAAAAAAAAACAATTTTACTATAAGTTGATAATTCTACAAATTTTTCATACGAACTTTTATACACTAATAATTAAGGATTTTTTAAAATTTGGAGTGGGGTTAGGCCTAACATGTCCCCGCCTCTCTGCCGCTGCAGCATAGGTCTTGCATGTGGCAACCGACCATACTCGTTGGACTTAAGCCCGGGACAAGGCAATGTGGTCGACCTCATAGGTTTGTAGTAGTACATTTCTAAGAACTAATACCACTTGTTCTTGAGATTTGTAGTACATTATAACAATATTTTACCTTTTCATTTTCTAGTTCTTGTTCATTTTACTGCCTTAGTACTTACTGTACTTAACGCCATTTCATTCTTAATTTCAAATGAAAAGCTATTAAATCAAATAAATGTGGATTCACTGAGCATTGTTTGACGAGTGATGGTGTTACATGTACTACCAGAGAATCACGTTTTTCAGTGGCGGAATATCTGTCAAAATATCCGCCTCTGAATTGCAACAGATTTTAACAACCTTGACGCCAATGGCTTTGGCGGTGAGATTTTAGTGACGGATGATTTTTCATTAATTTCCGCCACTGAAATCCGTCAATGACTTTACTAAATAAAAAAAAACAGAGCAGTAGTTTTGAATAAAAATACTTAAATAACGATGGGATAATTTAAGACGATGTGAAACAAATCAAACAATCATTCAAGTGCTTGATACAAGTATAATATAGTTCTCAATTTAATCCATTCAAATATGTAATCATGACATGCATACAAAAATAGATCTAGATAAAACATATGAAGTCTTTCCAAAGTCTCAAGTACATATCTAATGAGAGAGTGAGCCGAGGAATTTCCAAAGTCTTTGGAGCATTCAAAGGTGGGAAGGACATATGGTGCATCAAATCCATTCAACTTGAAAAAAGATCGAGGTCCATATTTGTTCAAAACTCGTAGCTTGTGAATATGGATATATCGATTCTCATTTTGTGATGCACTTGAGGCTTTATCTTGTGAATACGTTTCAAATTGTTGCTGGATATGATGATAATTATAATTCTAACAAACTAAAAGCAGGATAATATAGCAAACTAAAAAGTAAAAACTAGAACATAAAGAGTAATAATAACAAGTCCAAAGAATTAAAACTCATTCAACAATCCAGAGAAGTTTTTGACAAGAAGATATATGATCAGGGAAACAAAGGTTAAATCTTCTGCTCTGGAACTTGAAATTTTAAAAGTTGCAACCCTGTCAAGTCCCGAGGAGTTAAAGGTCAAGAGATCACCAAAAAAGAAGAGCAACAAGAAATAACAAATCAAGGAGAAAG